TTTTTTTTTTTTTTAAAGTTACGAATTTTTCATCAGTCGATAATGCAATTTTCTTCTTTTTTTTTTTTAGGAAGTTACGAATTTTTTATCGGTCGATAATGCAATTATGCTCGTCGTTGTACGCGTGTGTAGTAAGAAACGCTCGACATACTATCGATAATACTGTTGTAGTGCAACAACCGTTGCAACGGTTTCAAAATGAACGAGGTTAGCGGTAGATAACAATGCTTCTGCGCCTCGAAGTCCCGGCACAGCTGGTCAAAACGACGCGACGTCCTCGTGTAATATTCCATCTTCTCGAGGACGGGTATTAGATTCTCGAGATATTGATCGTAAAGCGGCAGCACGTTCAACAAGGTGTTGTAAAGAAAATCGCCGATGTTGTGCCGCGCGTTGCTCTCCCAACGTTCCAGTCTTGCCTCCATTTCTTGAAGGCAGGGCCCGTGAACGTCCGCTAAAAGCTCGATCAGCGAAACAACCGCTTCACCCTCTAATTCAGCCTCTCGAGATACCTCCTCGCGGAACCACTGTCGAGCAAAAATAGGACATGGCGATTATCGCTGTCTTTCTCAGATTTCACAGCTAAACATCTGAGAAATCTCAATTGTCAAAAGTCTGCTAATTGTAAAAACACTGAAGGCTACCAAAAATGGTGAAAATCTGGCTAATTTTTAATTTTCGTTGGAAATTTTGTAGACGTGAAAAGACAGAACATTTTTAGAGATTTAAATCATTTTTCGTAAAAATGTATAGGTTTAGGTTAGGTTAGGTTCGTGCAAGTTATTGTCACTATAAAGCTTCTCTATTTTTTCTATTTATAGTTATTAACAGCGAATTATACTTTGAATTCGTTAGGTACTTTGTTTCATTCGACAATAATTTAAATGATCGAAGCATTGAAGAGAAAGCTTCCATTTTAAAATTATTTTCTACTCGTGCTAATCTCAGTTCCCCTTTGTATGTTTCAAAACTTCATCGTGTCACTTTATTATTTCTTCAAGGTACTTCAACTGGCTTTTCGCTCTTTTATTTTTTTCTTTCACGGATGTCACGTACTTCGGGAGCTTGTTTAGATCAAGATTCATTCAGGCCTTCATCCACGTTCAAAAGTTCACTCTT